TATAAATTGGCTTACACTTATCCATACATCAATGGTTCTTACTCTTGTAACAAAGGAATGAATATTATGACAGTTTCTGACATGTGCTGACATTTTATGCTTGTCATGCACATACCGGTATGCTAAATGTGTTACATGGCCAATCTAATTAAAATCAGATGTTTAGACTCAAGATTCTATTGTTATTTTTGTTTCTTTATGACTTTGTTTTATTACTTGACATTATTAAGTTTATAAACAACTAAGAAACAAAAATAACAAATAAGATAAATTAAATGTAAATTAAAAACAAAAAATTAAACCTTTACCTTCATCAAATTTTGATTACCCAGGTACCGGTAGATTGCTCTGTGACCAGTACCTGTACATGCTGCTTGACAGTTGAAGCTGCAGTATGTTGAGTTTTGTATAATTTCAAGTATGCATGATTGAAAAAAATGCTGTCTCTGATATGAGACATAGCAGTAAATAACAAAAGCATTATTGTTAACATAATATTACATGCATCCAGACTCACAGTATCATGTAATATACACACTATTGTGTCCACCGTTGTATAAACCAAATACCTCAATGCCAAACAAATTCCCAGACTACAAATGCCAGACAGTGTACAAGTCCTTAAAAAACAAATATCAAATTATGCTACATTGTTGTCTTCAGCTTACAAATGTTAAACATCCGTTTCTCTATAGGAAATCTCTCATGGCGAGCTGAAACACATACTAGATAATGGAGGCTCTGTTGATGCAATAGTGGATGTCATTCACCAGTTTACAATCTTACACGAGAATCAAACAAAGCACAAGTTTTTCTGTCAAATAGAAGTGAATGGAAATATATTGTACAACATATCAACAAACTTCAGAAACTATGCAAGTATAAAATTATGTTAGGAAAGGGTTGTCAGCTGATTAATCATACAGCATAGTCTGTCTTTAAGGAGAGATGCATCTTTTAAACCATGCTTAGATTTAGGCAATTATTTTATCACCCAAATACCAAATTCAGTTTTGTACCAAAGGTGTCATTTTATGTTAATAGGCATCCAAACTGCTTTTGAAAGTTTATAAATGTTCATAAAATATGAAAAACATTTTAATTACTACATGAATTAAGTGTTTTCTCCAGAAAAATTGCATACAGTATCAGACAATTTGCATAACAATATAATATAATATGTAAATGACTTCTATTATATTCAGTGTTATGCTAAATTGGTTCTATTGTTTATCAACAATTTAACAGTTTGGAACCCCTACTCTATAAAGCCCTGGGGAGACCCCTGTCATGAAGTTAGGTAAAATAATCTTGTTTTGACATTTCATATAAAGAACAACAGCCAAGATTATCTATTCAAACTTGTCTCCAAATGTCTCTCAAACATTATATTGTCAGGGATTGAAATAGAATTTTTTCCCTGCATGCACAGTGTGCATGTTGAATTTGAAATTTACCTGCACTAACTTGTTGTGAAATGCACCACTTTTAAAGTTTAAATAAAATTTACGGTTTATCGATTGATGATTGATTTTTTAGTTGTCTTACAATGTTGGTTGAACTTAATTTAGGCTTAGTGAATATAATGAAAACATTTCGTGTCAATTTCTACATGCACAGCATGCACATTGTATTTTGAGTTTACTTGTACTAGCTAATAATCTATGTGCATAGTGCAGTGTGCACCAGAGTATTTCAACCCCTGATTGTACTCGCTGTTTTGGTAGTGCATGGCTCACATAAATGCAAGTGTTTATTTGCTTAAATAAGTAATAGTTTAATGATTCTGTATAAAACAAACAATTTTTTTGGGGATCACTTGCGCTTCAGATATAGAAAAAGTGGTATCAAATTATTTGATAAACAGATTGAAGATGGCCAACATGCAGCCAGATGATATTTCAGGACTTGGTTGGTTGATTTCATTTAAGTATACGCTGCAATTTGGTCCATAAATTAAATCGGTAGAGACTATATTGAAACATACAATTTTTGAGGGCTAATGCATTATGTTTTCTTCTGCAGGCTAGTCCGGGTGAGTTGTTATCTATCCATGATGACATCATTAACAGCATCATAGAACGAGGCAATAATCATAAACCAGGATGGCTAAGCTATGAGAAGATGATTGACTTAAGTCAGAGGCTGAATTATACCGATGAAGGTGGCTGGAAAAGGCTCCTTGTTGACTATGTTGGCTATGACTTCATGGCAATAGATGATATTGAAATGGCCCATGTAACAACTGGAAAGTTGCCAGCAGAGTTTGTATTACGATTGTGGTATGAAACTAAACCAGAGGAATTCACTAAAACCAATGTCTGCAAAGTGTTCTGTGATATGGGGAGACTAGATCTTGTACGCATACTAAGTGAAGATGAGGAAGACAGAGATAATTCAACTATTGATAATGAAGCATTACTATCACATTCAAAAATGTTGTGCTGGATGTGTGGTCACAGTATCATCCACTCTGCTGTTGTCAATAATGTTGCAGAAGAAATGGTAGAGTTCATGGTTTAAGGATGTGCCATGACCAGCTCACTTTTGACACAGGATTTTCTGAAACTTTGCTAAATAATTTTTTTTTGACCAGTTTTAAATTTCGAAAAAAACAAACCGAAACAATTATGAACATTAATTGTATGCATTTTCCAATTTCAAATCCAAAATGGCTGCCAAAGTAAGGATAGGGAAATTGCAAAGTTATTGTTCCCATGGAATCAAGTTTCAGTTCTACCAATCCAACCCCATATTCATATTTGAGTTTTATAAATTTTTAGCGATTCGCTCTGCTAGGATTGTCTTTAAAATCACTTTTGTGTGCATGTCTACATGTATTAACTTCTTGTGATTTTTTTGGCTGGGCCTATTTTGTTCAAACTTGGCAGGCAGGTCACACTTTCACTCTAGTTGGGTGGTAAAATCAAGAAAATAATTCCTGGCCCAATGTTGCCATGGCAACATCAAACAAACTGATTTTTGAATCCCCCCCTACAAATCTTGCAGTAAAAATCACGAACATAGCTCATTCGACTCAGCTTGAGGGCCCAAAGTTACTACCAGGGGTGCTTTTGTTTTGTTTTTATATCTTTTTTCAGTACCGAGAAATTTGACCTTAAAGTTTCCACCAGGAATAGCTCTTCAACTCTTGGGTGATTTTTATGGCTGGACCGATTTCGTTCATACATGGTAGCTAGGTCACACCTTCACTCTAGTTGGGTGGAAAATGGCAACAGCTAAAAAAAATGATTTTTCAGTACCTTTTCGCCAAATGTATCATCTCCTGCAAGTCTTGTAGTAGCAGTGTTCAAATGATCATGCTTTTTATTTTGGCCAAAGAGAGACCACCAGCTCCGATATTGTTAAACTGTATCAACTACGTCCTCACGCAACTTAGAACTTTGAATGAACTGTAAATACTGCATTCAAAGAATCTAGTAAACAAAATCGCAAAACGATCACACCCTATATTTGTAATTTAATTCGGCTTTTTGTATTATGTCAAATTAAAAACTCAAGTTTAGCTGTGTTACACTGGAACGACAATACCTATCAAATGTTTGGAACTCACAAAATGATGGCAGCGGCAGTAATATTTCAAAGAAAAAATATGTGGAGTGTAATACAATTGTCGACAGAGTGATGGGCATGGGTGATAAATGTAGTGTATATAGAGACAGTCCGTGGATAATTACTGTGGAAAACCAAACGCAACATACCGGGTATGTAACTACAAGAAGAAAATAGTTTCATATTGCACATTGCTAGCAAAGTATTGTGGAAATAAATAAAAAAAAAATTGTCATCCAATCAGCCTACGAGCTTCTTTAATAGAACCTTTTACTTAGATAAAAATTAAAGAACTTGCAGTTCTTTTAAAATATCCATATATTTCACTAATTTGCCTGTCCATTCTTAGCAGGATAACAAGACATTGATATGCAAGGACAGTGCATTATGTAGAAATGAAAACCTGAACATTATATTTACACAATATGTTTGTACAGTGCTAAGTAAACTAAACTTTGGACTTGTGGTGCAATAAAAATTTATGAATAAAAAAACACCTGCGAGAATAATCTTAAAGTACCTGTCGCACAGTGTCTGTTCACTTTATGAATAGACAATATATTTTACACATGTTGTAAGGACATACATTGAACACGACACAGCTTGACACATTTTCCAAATATACATGGAAATACAAAACTTTCAATGTGCAAGTCATTTATAAAAATCAGAGTTTAAAGTCGAGAAAATATTTTTTTTTTAGACAAATCCCCATATTTATCTAGAAAACAAACTCCTCTACTCTCTTTTTTCAAATAAGGTGCTGGATACCCCAGAGTTCAGGAAAACTGGTTTAATGCCAACCCTACTTTCTCAGTATTTAATACTTTATGACGAGAGATGTGCGAATTGTTTTATAACTAAATTAAATGTAAATATAGTTGACATAGAGTTTACAGCCTCAACACGAAGACTTATGTACTAAACCATGTATCTCATGAATCATAACTGGAAATAGGCTATGAAACCAAAATTATTAAACAAAAATATGAAAAATGTTATGAAGGTTCATATAGTGCAAGATGACAAAATTTGACTGAATTTCAAAGATTTGAGACTCGATTGGCATTTGTCCCAATTATAAAATCTTACCAAAAACATAACTGATGTAATCATAAAACGAGTTACAGTGCATGAAATAAACCAAATGAGAATGACTTGTGCAGACAATGGATGCAGACATTTTCAACCCCAACTGTATTACTTTGTCTTGACTTTTCATGATTTGTTACAAATCCCATAGACATTTATTACCATACTATAAAGCACTTGAGAAATAATTTCAAAGCCACTAGTTATAAATACCTCTGTCACTATAGTTTTTGTTCACGAATAATTATCAAAACCCATTGAATTTACAGAACCTGATAATGCTTTGGTTGGCTGTCATTTACATGTATAAAATTTTCTATCAAAAGCAAAAAAGACACCTTGATGACAAATATGTATTCAGATTTAATACAATCCATTTTTGAAATCCACTTCAATATGTAAAATATAGTCTTTAATAGAATGAATCCAGGTTTCCAGCAGTATGATCCATGTTTATGAATCCGTGAAGGTGGTCTATACCCATGATCAGAAATCCAAAAGCTGCATGAAAAAACAAACAAACAGTCAACCTTTTCTGATACAATTGTACCTATGCAGTCACATCTATGTACCCTATACTGGTAGTAACCACCAAAGGAACTTCATTAAAATGGTCTTTATAGAGACACGTGGTCTTTATATAAAAATTAGATTTTTTGGAAGTCGCCAATTAATACATTTGACATAATATTTGCAACAAAAACACATTATTGAGTTGATCAAAATCAAATAAGTTTGAATCAGAAGCTTGCATTTGTTGGTCAATACAATCATATAAACTCATCAGCTTTTGTACTTGTGCAGAAAAATAAGTTGTAAATGGGTGCTTCTACCAAGGTTTCATTGCGTATTAATTGATCACCTCTGATTTGTAAACAGTTAGATAAACTGTAACATTCACTGGTCACCAAGTACTGTAAAAGTATTAATTATTCACTGGGTTTTAATTTTGTTTATTTCGCTGACTGGAAAATGTGCTAAATTAAAACCCAGTGAATATGTAAGATTTAGCATAGAACACATTATCTGAATGATAAAACCGTGAATTTATAAACCCACTGAATATGCCTGAAATGGTAAATCAGTGAAAATTAGTCATTTTACAGTATTATACAAACTTTGCTCTATGTAAATGCTTGTATATGGAGATATATGCATAACATGAATATACTGTGGAATACTTTATTTTCGCTGGAATTAATTTTCGCTGAAAAGGCTTTTTGGGCGTTTTGCTTTGAATTTATTTTCACTGATTTTTCATGAGTTTAATGTGGAATATAGGAAAAAAAGTATATTCGCTGGATTTTATTTTCACGAAATCATCCCTTCAGCGAAAATAGCGAAAATAAATTCCAAGCGAAAATAATGTATTCTACAGTATGCTACAGTCGGTGTGTAGTCACCATAGTCGTATGTGGCTAAAACTGAAATTGCATAGCATTTCAGGATATATGTTGTACAATGTATAGTGATTCTATTTCATAAAGATAATTTTACTATGCCTGTATGTGGGTTCGATTATGTTGTTCATTTTGCTGGAAATGGAAATGTGTTGTTTTATTTCAGTTTGTTTTGCTCTGAGTGGACCCAGTGTATTGTTTTTGTTTGTGTGCATGCATGTACGTTACATGCCCATAGCATGTTTATACTTTTCAAAACCATAAATACACAAAGAACATTCTGGATGTTGTCACTGGAAACACAGTCACTCTACTAGGACGGTTAGGAAGCGCTATTGTTAAAAGGTGTGAACGAGCAGCTTCTGAGAACCTATGCTGGTCTCAAAACTATGACGTAATTGTCATCGGAGGGCGCTATTTTTCATTGCGTTCATGTTGCTCAAGACGACCGTGAATTTTTGAAATTGTGCTTTATTTTTACATCAAACTACAATCTCAACTGAACTATGACTAAGAGTGATATTTTATTTTACAGATGAGCGTTCTTTTGCAATCGTGAAGATGCTTTACTCGAGAAAAACGGTGTTTTATTGACAGTCTCTTTGTCTCGATCTCTAACAGTCTTTCGGTCCGTAAAATAAACCCCTCGCTCAGTTTAAAAACAATTTTATCACTAAAAACATTGATGTCTGCAAACCTTTACAATATTTCTTTGTCCATTCTCGTAATTTTTGTTTGTTTTATAGTCACTTTATGGCGAAATTTTGCATGTTTTCGTCGTCTATGGAGGTGGTCGCCATGTTGCTTTATTGCGTGGTTTTCAATGGAAGTAATCGGACGAAAGAGATTTTTGATTGTTGTGTTTTCATATCCCTCCATTCGCTTTATTTGACGACTGATACAAATCCCGTCCAGCAGTATCGGTGCTACGAGTCATATTTAGTTTCGTTTGAATATTTTTTTTTTATGACTTTGCTTTGTGACAATTTTATGAACAGTTTATTTCAGCATGTTCGCACTGCTTTTTGATTCAGTCGAGACAGGGGCGAGACAGGGTAAAATACCCGGATGTTAATTTTTGTGTGGGATTTGTTTGGGTGATATACATGTAGTATTAACTATTAATAATTTCAGAATGCCATACAAGACAGCAAGATTTTCCCGGGGAAAAACGTGTATATACAATGCATGTTTATTTCCGCGTTCGGTGAAAGGGTAAAGTGCCATATATTGCAATGCTTTGTAGGAAAAAATGACGCAACTCTCGCACTGTCTCACGATTTATCGCGTGTTTTTCGTCGCCCTTTTTATGCTAATGACTTCTTAGCTCGTTAATACCGCTTTTGTTTCAATGTTTATCGAGACAAGGGTAGTTACAATGGAACGACGCGGCACTTCCTAACCGTCCTAGTAGAGTGACTGTGCTGGAAACTTTGGCAAGAGAGATCTTGCAGTGCAACTGTTAACAAAATGTTTCATTGGTTTTAATAATGCAAATGTTGACTTCTGCCTTGGTCGGTTTTGTATAGGTCAACAATGCTCTTTTCGTTGACAAATCTGAACATCAGTCTTTGGTGAGAGTCAACATTTATATAATATTTTTCTCATACTCAGTGTCGGCTTGTTTGCTAAGAAAATGTGATTTTACCCTTGGGGGCAAACAGAAAAACAAAATAAATCTTTCTTTTTTTCTGTACAAGTAACTTGAAGTAATTAGAACTACTGATTTCATTTAGCATTATTATACAGATGCTATATAATAACGAATTCGAACTCACTAGCTGAGGTAATATTTTCTCAAAGTGTTCAATACCAACAACATCAAACGATGCAGCCTGTGCTTGGGCAGCGGCTCTGTGTGCTGCTTCTGCAATGAAATATATAGAACATTCATACCGTAAATAACATGTCACTTTTTGTTTACCATGTCACATGGTTTGTGTGACATGTCACTTTTTGTATCTGGATTGTATCCAATAATAGCCATTGTGAATAGTTGCATAACAATGCCTTATGGTAGAATGAATGAATGATTGAATAGCCCAGTGAATCATTTAATTAGTCTATTAATGGTTTGATAATGGTATGAAGAAACAAGTCATGAATGACACTGCCTTCGCTAGTTGTCATTCTAAAGTTGCATGGACATAAATTGGCAAACATGATTTCTATGGCATTTTCAAGTTTATAGCACTCTCCATCCAGGTCAGCATTATTCTCAGCAAGGAAACCAGATAGCACCAAACCAGTACAACAGGTAAAATCAAAGAAAGCTTAGAAAGAACTCCTGTGTGCTGAGAGTATTGGAGACACATTAAAAATTAATTCAAAATTACTTGAACTTGAGATGTTGATGGAAACGCAGAAAATTAATTATGCAAATAAGGTAACGAACAGATTTAAGTGTAAAACTAATAAGGTCTGCACCAAGTTTCATTGAAATGTGATTAGAACCAAAATCAAAGAAAGCTTAGAAAGAACTCCCGTGTGCTGAGAGTTTTGGAGACACATTAAAAATTAATTCAAAATTACTTATACTTGAGATATTGATGGAATAGCTGAAAACTAATTATGCAAATAAGGTAACTAATATGAACAGATTTAAGTGTAAAACTAATAAGGTCTGCACAATGTACCAAGTTTCATTGAAATGTGATTAGAACCAAAAAAATATTAATTATTATGCTAATTAGAGAATTAATATGAACAGATTTTAATCCAAAATTAATCAGACTGTTTATTGTCCTAGAGCATTTATGTACCAAGTTTTATTCAAATGTGATGATCAATACTTGAGATATCAGTATTAATTAATTATGTTAATTAGGTGATTAAGAAGCATAAATATTTACCAAAAACTAATATGGTGCATAGTCTTAGGTTCATTTAAATGTGATGGGTACTCTTTAAAAGTTTCATTGAAATCCAATGAGGGGTTTTTAGACATCATAGAACAGCAAAAAATTAACTAATTATGCAAATTAGGTAATTAATAGGCACAATTATTTATTCCAAAATTAATCAGGTCTCTGCATAGTCCTAGAATATCTATGTCGCAAGTCTCATTGAAATGTGATGATTAGTACTTGAGATATCAGGTGAAAAGCTGAAAATTAACTAATTATGCTAATAAG